TGTGACCGCTAACCATTTTTGCTATATACTGTGACCGCTATCGCTATATACTGTGACCGCTAACCATTTTTTGCTATATACTGTGACCGCTATCACTATATGCTGTGACCGCTATCTATTGTGACCAAACTTGCGGATCCTCATCCGAGCAGTCTCTGCCGAACAGTCTCTGCGAGCAGTCTCTGCCGAACAGTCTCTGCCGAACAGTCTCTGCCGAACAGTCTCTGCCGAACAGTCTCTGCCGAACAGTCTCTGCCGAGCAGTCTCTGCCGAACAGTCTCTGCCGAACAGTCTCTGCCGAACAGTCTCTGCCGAACAGTCTCTGCCGAACAGTCTCTGCCGAACAGTCTCTGCCGAACAGTCTCTGCCGAACAGTCTCTGCCGAACAGTCTCTGCGGGCGACCATTGCTTGCGGATACTCAGCTGCTGCGACCATTGCTTGCGGATACTCAGCTGCTGCGACCATTGCTTGCGGATACTCAGCTGCTGCGACCATGCTTGCGGATACTCAGCTGCTGCCGCCACCAGGAAGTTTGCAAGTGTTTTATGGAGATGCAAAGAGGCGCTGGGCTGCCAGGATGGTCGAAGTGTCAGGCCTGATGTATGAGGAGAGGGCCGATGATGACCAGCGGCCCAGCTGCTGGAGGGCGGAATAGGGGAGCCCAAGGGACGCGGCGCGCGTGGCGGCGCCTATCCGAAGGAGTGGGCTGTGTAGAGATGGGGAGACAGGTTACAAGCAGCAGTACGGACTTGAGTTGGGCTCTGAAACAGACGGATGACATTGGAAGGTTTATCGGGAGCGCGGAGGAGATGCTTTGAGGGAAGGCGTCGGGCCAGGGCCCGGCGAACCACTGGACCTGGAAGAGACCCCCAAAACCCACGGACGGGGCTGCGTCCGTGAAGAACCGCAGGGCATCTGAGGACGGGATGACGTCACTGTAAAAAAAAGATACACCGTCCCAGCGGCTCTGCAGACGGGACCCGAATGCCAGGTCGGAGCGGCACCCCGCGTCCGGGCAGACAGCGTCGTTGAGGGAGGAGACGGAGCCAGATACAAGCAGTTCCATCTATAAGCAGTTCCATATACATAAGCAGTTCCAGATATATAAGCAGTACCAATATATGCAGTTCCATATACATAAGCAGTTCCATATATATAAGCAGTTCCAGATATATAAGCAGTTCCATATATATAAGCAGTTCCATATATATAAGCAGTTCCAGATATATAAGCAGTACCAATATATGCAGTTCCATATATTGCATGAGCAGTTCCAATATGAGCAGTTCCAATATGAGCAGTTCCAATATGAGCAGTTCCAATATGAGCAGTTCCAATATGAGCAGTTCCAATATGAGCAGTTCCAATATGAGCAGTTCCAATATGAGCAGTTCCAATATGAGCAGCAGTTCCATATATTAGCAGTTCCATATATTAGCAGTTCCATATATTAGCAGTTCCATATATTAGCAGTTCCATATATTAGCAGTTCCATATATTAGCAGTTCCATATATTAGCAGTTCCATATATTAGCAGTTCCATATATTAGCAGTTCCATATATTAGCAGTTCCATATATTAGCAGTTCCATATATTAGCAGTTCCATATATTAGCAGATCCATATATTAGCAGTTCCATATATTAGCAGTTCCATATATTGGCAGTTCCATATATTGGCAGTTCCATATATTAGCAGATCCATGTATAAGCAGTTCCGTATATAAGCAGATCCATATATATAAGCAGGTCCAGATATAAGCAGAACCAATATATGCAGTTCCATGCACTGTATAAGCGGTTCCAGGTATAAGCAGTACCATATAATCAGTTCCAGGTATGAGCAGTCCCAATATGAGCAGTTCCATAAAAGCAGTTCCATAATACATAAGCAGTTCCGTAATACATAAGCAGTTCCGTAATACATAAGCAGTTCCATAATACGTAAGCAGTTCCACGATACGTAAGCAGTTCCACGATACGTAAGCAGTTCCATAATACGTAAGCAGTTCCAGATATAAGCAGTTCCGTGAGGGATTAAACTGAGAGCTCGCAGTCCAATTTGAGGGATTAAACGGAGCTTGCAGTCAGAGTGAAGGATTTAAACGGAGCTTGGTTAAAGAGAGCCTGCAGACCAATGTGAGGGCTTTAAACTGATGCTTGCCCACCAATGCACGGGGCCAACTGAGCCTGCATTACAAGCGCGGGGCCAACTGAGCCTGTAGGACAATGCGAGGGGAATAAACCGTCCGCAGATCTCATACTTACCCGCAACGCCAGAAGATAAGGGACAACACGACGGGACCACACCGTATGGCACGAGGAGGCAGGGATGCGCACGGCTCCCACCGCACCGGTCCAGACCGGCCGTATGCAGCAGCAGGCCGCGACGAGACGAGCAGCGGCGAACCCGCAGAAAGAGCCCGCAAAGGAGGAGAGCGGCAAAGACCCACGGACCACAGCACGAGACCCGCAGCAGGTGCAGCGACGTGGAGGAGGAGCAGACGACACGCAGCAGGACAGAGGACAGCAGGGACACGCACGAAGTAAGTGAGAGTAGAACAAAGCGATTCCTCCAGAACGACTCTTTGCAAGGCTTCGCTCTTTGCTGCAGCTTCAAGAGGCCGAGAATGGGAGTTCCTCCGCTTTTAAGCAGCTTGCCTGGCTGGACCGGTGATTGGAAGGGGGCGTTTGCCGTGCGATAGGCTGGGGGTGAGAACCGGCCTGGAGGGGTTACCTTTGGCTGACGTCTACCAAATTGAACTTACGCTGGCTGCATTTCTCTATCTCACCTTCACAATCAACATTTGCTTCGCTTGTTACTTTGTTTAATAAATAAATAGATTAAAGGATGAAGTGTTGTGAGATATTCTAAGTAAACACAAACGGTTCTTAAACATGGACAGGACAAAGAAAGGATCAGGGTTGTAGAAATGGAAGTTATTACATGTTTAAATGAATCATTAAGCGGCAGATTGTCCTGTGCTTTATCTTTACAAATAAGAGTCATGTGAGCTGCTGGTGCAGTACAACACAGTAAGCTGCTCGGCTGTACGAACGTTCATGCATGTGAGTGCCAATGATCAAAGTGTTTGGCTGGGAAACAAGTTGGATGGATGTAAACTCTCAGTTTGAAGGTGCTCCAGCTTTAATGTTTAGGGGAGATAGAGAGATATAGTTTGCAGACGCACTCTGTTACCTTCCAGCATCGTCTACAGTCATTCAGTGGTATGATTTTGTGTTGTATATAAGACTTAAACCTCCCTCAAACTTGTATAATTGGAAATTGCAGCATCACCAGCAGTAGTCACGTGAACCCAAACATCTCCACACACGCACGCGGGTACGCGCACGCTCAGTCTACTGCGTTCAGTGAACCATGAGCTCATATAGCCTTGTGTGGGGGCCTCAGTGGAGTGGAATCATTAAAACGGTCCGTGGCTCTTTAAGTGGCGTCTCTGCTTCTCTCCGGGGCGCGATTCTTCATGCATGGCTCTCCCCTCTCCCCCTCTATCCCCCTATATCCCCCTCTATCCGTCAATATCATCCTCAATGTGTCTTCTCACTAATCAGTGCGTCGCAGATGGGTTTCTGCCGAGGAGCCGTAATGGGGCGACGGTTCGGATCAGCACCATGGACAGCGCCGCAGCACAGGCATACAGCCGCACTATAAATAGCAGCGGTGTTTGTGACCATTTTGAGACACCAATAATGTCACTTATTTAGGCTCCCATTAAGCTTCACCATGGAAACGCATGCACGCGTGTAAGTCACATTCTCCACATCTGGACACAACTGGATCCTGAATAGCCCCAGTGCAATAGCCAGCCTTTTTATAGTGACGGCGATGCGGCTGAAGGCGGGATCCAGGGCCACTGCGCCACACCATTGGTCACTTCTGAGCTCCATCACACGTGTGTCCAATCCGCAGAAAGCTCCTGTGCCCCAGGCGAAACAGGGGGAGACGCGCGCTTACTTTTAGTTTGTGTTGGTTGGATCGAGAAAGGAGGAGGAAGACCTAGAGGAGGAGGAAGAGGCGGCTGTCATTTTTTCATTTGTACAAACGGCACGTTTGAGGAGCGCAGTGCCAGGCGCATTTTGCCGACGGTCCTCCAGCTTCTCTTGGATACCTTTATTTTGAATGGGAAAGCGTAGCTTCTCATAGATATAAATACTGCTTTGGACTAAAGTCTGTGACTGCTTTGAAGGCTCAGATTGCTTCTTGCCTCTTTGCGACTTGATTATTCGGTTGATCTATGGAGGAGAACATGTCACAGAGAAACGTCAGGCAACAGCTGTGTGCAGGGACACACCACGAAGCTCTGCTGCCCGTCTGCGCGCCCCGCGTCAGCCTCGGATGTCCCTGCCTTCGCTGAAGCATCACCCGTGTGCATTCGAGGAGAGGTCGTCGGCAGAAGCAATAGGATACAAGAGGCGGTGAGTCAGAGGCGACCCTCCTCCTGCTCTGGACTGCACTGTGGCACTGCTGAGACAAACAACCCTCCGTTATATGTTAACTACATGTTCCTGCTGAGCTGCCCACGCAGGTTCACACAGGCGCTGCACAAGTTCTAACGGACACACGAAGACGCGCACGGCGGAACAGTGTGTGATGGGCACTTTGGCGTCAGATCAGCGGCATTAGCGGAGGGACACCGGGGCATGCACCGCTCTGAGAGACAGGACAAGCGGGGGTCTCTAATCGTCGTGGAGATGTGCGTGTGCGCCAGCGTGCTGTGGTGAAGAGACTGTTTGATGCACGAGAAAGTGACGTGCTGCCCCCCACCATCCCACCCTCTGCCCCGAGCCTCTGCCGAACACCAACTGCTTTATGTAGCACGCATCCCAATGACACGCTGTTGTGCTGTGTAAGAAAGAGCGGAGTGTCTGTCGCCAAAACGACAGTGTGACTCGTCCAAATCTCGCGGGAGAGCGTGTCAATTAAAGGGTGAATCTTAACGAGAGGAGGGACTCAGATTGCACCCAACAGGAGCCGCCTTTATGAAGATGCTGATGTGTGACCGAGGCGTCCAGATGCTCGTGACGACGGTGGGCGCGTTCGCCGCCTTCAGCCTCATGACCATCGCGGTGGGCACCGACTACTGGCTCTACTCACGAGGGGTCTGCCGCGTGAAGAGCAGCAATGACAACGACACGAGCCGCAAGAACGAGGAGGTGATGACGCACTCCGGCCTCTGGCGAACCTGCTGTCTGGAAGGTACGTGCTCCGTCTGCCTAGGACGGACTGGGACTGAGGCTGACTGAGACTGTGACTGACTGGGACGGACTGGGACGGACTGGGAGAGAGGGTGCTCCGGTGTCACCCACTGCTGTGCCGCCCATAGGCGCAGGCTCTGCTCTGCCGCTGCCGTGCGTAATTACACTACATGTAAGTGAAAGTGCAGCCTTTCCATCACTGACCTGGACCAACATGTCCCCACTTCTGTGACACTGATGACAAAGCAATTTGGAGAATGGTGAGCTCATGTTGACTCCACACTGAGAAAACCCTCGAATCTACTGAAAATGTGTCTCCCTTGAGAATAAACTATGTTCCATTTAACACTAACGAACAGTGCATAAAAGCAGAACTATGGAGGTTGTGGTAGAGAGGGGGAGGTTAAGAAGATCAAGTGTTCATATATCATCAGGTGTGAGGGGCATAATGCCTCCATCGTTACTGAGATTTAGGGGCAGAAGTGATACACACACAACACTCTGTGTGTCATGAATTGTCTTCTAACTTAAGAGTCTATTCTAATACAGTTAAATCTGGGGGTAAGACAACAAGCACACAATGTTTATAGACTGTATGTGATCCATTGCTCCATTTCAAGGCGACCATTTCTTGATTTTTTTGAGCTTCTCCTTTATTTCCACATATTAATTAAAGCAGCACTGTGAAGATTCTTGATATGCCACTTTCATTACAGTTACAAATAGAAGATGGGAAACATTTGAAAACCAAACGTTCTCAATGTGTTGTTTTTATGTTAGTTTGGAATGTTGGAGACAGCTTTGAACATCTAACAGAACAAGCAATTTTTCAACCAGAAAGTTACATTCAGAGCTTTCATGAGAGTGCTGTCACCTGTATGGCAATCAATGTGGCATATTTGAAATGTGTTACAGGTGCAGATATTACGACTAGGGGTCGGTCACTGTGGCTCATCTCTATCATGTCCATGAGTGAGTGGTTAGCACTCTTGCTTCTTGAATCCCAGTCAAACAGGCTTTTCTCAGTGGAGTTTGCATGTTCTCCCCGTGTCTGCGTGGTTTCCTCTGGGCACTACAAAAATCAACAATTGGTAAAATCCTCCAGCTCTAGTCCTGAACAAGCTTGGCATCAATATCTGGAGATGCAGGGACAAATGAGAGCAAATATCCTTATAGGGACAATACACTCCACGTATGAACTTCTATGGCATAAGTATTCCACAGTATTTCAGCCGGAGATCCTCCAAAGATAAGTTTAGGCCTCGTAGTGTTTTTGTGTAGACTCCACGATTGCATATATAAGAAAGAAATTGGGTGAATTAGTCACATTAGTTTCAAAGTCTGTGAAAGGGTCAACCTGGAGAGAAGCGGAGGGAGAAGAATAAATATTTCATAGATCATTTAAATTAGTGTGTAGTAGTAGTGTAGTAGTGTGTGCTTCCCGTTAGCTAGTGAGCCGCTGGTGGAATATATATTTGAAAATGTGATATTAGGGACTAACATGTATAATTCTGGTCTGTGTTGGAGTACTTGCTGACACCGGACATGATTGCCTGACCTTTATGTGCTGTCATTTCACTTAGAAATCAGAGGCCTGTGGTAGTCGGCAGTCTCCATGAAGAGGAAGCTACCGAGCAGTGTATGTCTATTGATTATTTGATTAGCTAATGAAGTTGTGTGGTTGATTTCTAGGTTTCAGCCTCATTGTACTATATGATATCACATCTGTAAGTGCACCCACAGAGGAGTGTAGCAAAATAGTTCATAAAATAAGTTAAGGAATGTAGGAACAGGGGCTGGGAGGTCATACGTTTTATTCTTCTCACTCCTTTTTGAGCCAAACTCTTTTTGTTGTTGTACGGATCCTCCTTGTACCGGTTTAGTTTAGTTTTCTTCTTCCTTCTCTTGTTGCCTCTGTAAGTGGGTACAGTGTTTGCTGTATGGCACAGACTGTTATAATTTTGTATGGCTCAAAATAAAGAAGTCAAATAAAAAACTTAAAAAAATGTTAACCTTTATAAAAGATTGTGATTATGTTTTTCCACATTTAATTGAAGGATGGATTAGAAGGCTATTATCAACTTTCCTGGCATTCAGATATTATCCCATGAAATTGTCCACGAGAGGTCGAGAGTAAAGGTCCATTCTCGTTCCAGAGGCAACATTTAAGCTCACAGTTTCTGAAAAATTGACAATATATTCAGTGTATATGATATGCACTGTAGATCCAGATACTAATTTCCATCTGGTGTGCCTCGGCAGGTCACACAAATAGACATACACTTGTACATTTGTAATAAAAAAACATTAAATATAAGAACTTTGAACCATATTATTGTTGTTTTTAGAGTGAATCATGCATGTTTGACCACAGCCAAATGTTCTTAGCATTTCCACAACCTAATTAGAGCACTTGCTGGACTATTCAGCGCATCTGAAGACAAAAGGAACCAGCACTATTTGAAATGAAAGCCACATTTTTTCACACATAGGTCACACGTGAATATAAGCTGCAGGTTTTCATGTCACCCTTAACCAACAGCTGATGGAGCAAAACAAAGCTGATATATACGACTGTTTTAACTGGACATGGTTTTAGCGCACTTTTGAGTTGTGATGAATAAAGCTTTGTGAATAACTCAATGATCTCTAAGGAGGTAAACAGGTTAGCATGCTTAACTTAAAGCTGCTTTACCTCACTTTATTTTTGTATTCATTAGTTAAATTTAATCCATATCCATGCAGTGTATTGGGATATACGACCTTTTGAGGAAAAAGTAGCGCAGATTTGTGCTGGTGTGTCATTTTATTTTAGATCGAGTTTTCATGCAACACGGACCAATCACAGCGGACCACTGGCCCCCACTTTCTTGAGAAAAGCTACAGGTCTCTCATTAGCACAGACAGCTGAGGTAAACAAGCGGCGGAGGCTAACCTGAAACTTCCTGTGTCTTTGTTACTGGTTACTGCTTACTCAGCGAAACAGCCATCCAAAAGAAAGAAAATTTCACAAATTGAGTTAGTGCAGCTTTAACTGTTAGCTTCCATATTGGAACTCATTTACCAATATATTTTGACAATAAAAGTGACTCTTATAGCCACTACCTGTTGATGAAGTCAAAAAATAAGAAGTAACTTTGCTCTCAGGACTGCCCAACTCTACCACAATCAAACTGTGAACATTCTCATTGCAGCAGGTGTTAAACAAAAAAGTACTGGCTTTTAGTTCAGTAAATACAGTAGATGTTTTGTTTTTCCATTTTAGATTTATACCACTGACAAAAGTATAAAACATGAAACCCGATTCTGAAAGGTGGCTTGCTTTTGCACAAATCTGACTTGTTCAGGGCCTCGTCCAGCTTGATTTTGTGGACATTGGGTCACTTTCTGTGAAAAGTCTAAAGCAAGGATGTCAAACTAATTTTGGTCGGGAGCCAAATTTAATAATAATAATAATAACAATATTTATAATACATTGGTTTCATATAGCGCTTTTCAAGAGCTCAAGACGCGTCACAGTTTAGGACACACACAATCACAAAACTAAAAATCAACTAAAAACATAAGAGCTAGTTGGGGCCAGAACTGGTATAATTTTTTTTTATTTTTTGTTGTTGAGAAAATCACTGTAATCTGTTAGAAGATGAATATAAAGATCGGTAACTATAACTATCTAATTACATTTATTTAGAATGTTAGAAAATGAAGGATAATATGCCATAGTATCCTTGTACCATCAATACTGCAAGTTACTGCGATAAAGATCATGGAAAATCATTTCAGAGGCCACTTAAAATTGTCTCGTGAGCTGGATCTTGCCCACGGGCCTGAGTTTGACATGCCTTGTCTAAACTTTCTATTTCCACATCTAGAAAGTTGCGCATTACCGCTCAGAGAATCATCCAGCAAAATGTGCATCTTGAATTGTCAAAATGCTCCCTATGGGCTTTTAGTAAAGTTTTTTGCTTGCAATAAACTTCTTCAGAGAGCTCTTGTGTTGGATAGTAGAGTCTCAGGATGCCCGTATATGGACTTCCACCCAGACATAGTTCCCACACGCCATGGTTTTGTCAGTGTAACAGACTGAAGAAGACTTAGACTGAAGAAGAAATACACTTTTTTTTTTTGGAGCGCTGCCCACTAAAGCGAGTGCTAGTTTGAAGTATACTGCATTGGAATTAAGGTGTTTTTTTTGATGGATAATTGGGAAGCCGCAAAGGGGGGGAGGGGTGGGATCTCTACATCTATGGACATGCCCATTGATGGAAGCAGAGGAAAATCCTTTTATTTATCGATCTACGAGCGAGCTGAAAACTGCTTATAGCTACCTGTTGCTCACCGAAATATAGAGCCATAACTAAGACAACTAAGTACTGAATCCATGAGTAAAAAAGAAAATATATAAGATAATGATATTCATTTGCTTCACAGAAAAACACATTTCAAAATTACATTACCTCCCTTCAGCATAATATACTACCCCCCCCCCCCCCCCCCCCTTTCCCGCCCTATGGGAACCATAAAGTAGACCTTACCTTACGGCGTTGGTACTCCCCTGAGAAGGCGTGTTGCGCTGTATACGCCAATCTTTCCACAGGCCCCCAGTATCCACCGAACCTTAACGGGATCCTTAATTTAAACTTACATCTATATCTTTGTTTTGTGTTCTCAGATAACAGGTCATATGGAAAATTCATATTTGGAAGTGAATTTATTCTTAAAACAAAAATGGACATCTCTGCATCATGCAGATTATCCAGAAGAGCAGAATGAGGTTGAATGATTTGGGTTGCCAGGTGAAAGATATGTAGTTTTGGCTCTTTTATTTATTTTTTTAACCTGAGAGCAGGTTTACTAATGCACCACAGCTTAAATGCCCATTCATACAACGATTATGTATGTCTTTCATGACTTCAGTAAATCGCACGAAAGACACTTGTTTGTAAGTAATGTTTATTTATATAGCACATTTTACAGACCAAGGTCACCCAAAGCGCTTCA